CCACCAACAGCCGAGAGCCTGCAGACACAGACCAGACTGGACCGTCCAGCTGAGGCTTAACCGAACCACACCAAACCCCTCTGCTCACGACTTACAGGCGGCTGGGCCGTGGCCTTCTCGGCCCTTGACCTGGGACCTCCGCGGTGCCCCCTGGGCCACACACCCCCAGCTCTGAATACAGAGACCCACGGCCAGCCCAGCCCCGACCAGCCTGCTGCCAGGTGACCAGCGCCGCACCCGGACAGGGCACAGTAACACATCTGCTCCGTTACAGCTGGACCAGGGATCCAGGTCACCGGAGCCCTGTGTGTCGGAGGGACCGCCCAGGCGCGAGCCGGCCCCGGACGCACCTTCAGCGCGTTGATGACGGTCTCGATGTGCGTCTTCACGGCCTCGTGGGAGAACTCGGAGCTGGCCAGCGTGCACATGCTCTCCAGCGCCAGGTACCGCAGGTTGGTCTCCCGGTGCTGCAGGAACTGGCCCAGCTGGTTACAGGCCCTGACCAGCAGGTTGGGCTCGCTGCCGCACGAGGAAGAAACGGCCCGTTAACGCCCGGACAGAGACCCGGCAGGAGACGGCGCCACGGCCGCGGGCACTAGGTCATGTCTGGCTCGGTCCTCCCACAGCTCAACAAAACCGCCCTCCCACCTCAAGTCACAGCTGTGGTCATTTCCTCTGTCGCCTCCAGGGGGCGCACTCTGCAGCGCCAGTTATGAGCCAGACATGCAAAATAGACAGGTCCCTTCAAATAAACCGACCTGCCAAGCTTCTAAATTACTTAATCTTAAAAAGCGGCCAAATAAATATGACGGGGCCGAGCCCGACCTGTCGTGGTGGATGATCAGGCTGATGGCCTCGAACAGCACGGCGTTCTTGGCGTTGGAGTGCTGGACCTTCTTGGACTTGGGCGGCTCCTGGGCCTTGTTCAGGATGGTCTCCAGGCACTCCGTCAGACGGCCGCGGATCGCCGCGTCCTCTGCGAGGGGGGGGGGGCGGGGCGTGGGCGGAGAGAGCCAGCGGCGGAGTCGGAGAGACCAGGACACGCGCAGACAGGGACACGGAGAGACACACCAGCCAAAAAGAAGGAAAGACAGCGAGTGAACGAGGAGTTGGGGTTCCGCAGAGTAAGAATGAAAACGTCCAGGTCAGAGTCAGAGAAAGCGAATGATCGAGAGGGGGGGGGGGGTGAGAGAGAGAGACCGCGGGGTCTCTCCGAGCGAGGGGCACTGCCGCAGGGAGGTGCCCGGCCCCCCCAGGGGCAACGCCGGCGCCGTACCTGGAGGAGGGTAGCACTGCAGCAGGCGCAGCAGCTTCACCGACAGCCAGGGCGCCGGGACGAAGTAGTAGGTGTAGTCCTGGAGGTCAGTGGAGGCCGAGGTCACGATCTGGGAGAGGAGGGAACAGGACGATCTCACACAGGCTCAGCGGGAAGAGCTCACCCCCATCGGCCCAGCTGCCGCCACGGGGTGCTGGGATTCCCACCCACAGGTCCTGGCGCGAAGCCGGGACCACCGCCTCACCCAAGGCCGGCCCTCTCCAACGAGCCCCCCCACCCCGGGCCACATTCCTGGCAACCACAGCGTCTCTGCGGCTCCTGCCTGGCACCAGGGCATCACGCCAGACCTCGACAGCACAGGGACTCGCTGGGAGCAACCCGTGCCGGCCCCAGGCTCGAGGCCCGCAGACGCCCCCCCCCGGTGTCCGGACCGTACCCTGCTCAGCCTGGCCACCGCCAGCGACACCGAGGTCTTGAACTCCTCCGGGTTCTTCTGCGCCAGCGTGGTGA